TTCAAATGTGTCAGAAAACATTTTGCAGCTAAAGTCAGTTGATATAGAACTGAGAACAAATAGACATATATGTTACTGGACTATCTTTCAATATAGTATTATTCAGTATTATCTTTCCAAATGGAAAGATAATACTGCAGCCAGCTTGCCATGGGTGATATCATAAAAAATAGGTTATACTCAGCTATACAGCAAATGTTAATACAACGTGAAATACCATAAAATCAGTCATGTGAACAGTGAAGTCATGGTATGGAATAGTTTATTACTTTAAATAGCTTGTTTATATGAAGAAAATGTGTGTTTTACATTCATAGGCCTCTTTCTCATTCAGAAAAAGTGACCTTAATCACAAGTGAATACAAAAAAGAAGAGATCACCAGCTGGTCAAAGTCAGCTGTAAAATTTATTATATTAAACTTTGTAAAGTTTGCCGTATGTTTATATGGTTTTCATCACTATGTGTTTTATTTTCTTTTACCTGTTTATCTTTGTTGAATGTTAGAAAATCCCATTAGCTGCTGAAATGGGCATGTAAATCATTAGCAAGATGTTCCATTGATGCATTTATTATGTTGGTGGTGACAAAGAAAAGGCTGCATTTCAGCAAGGCAGCAGCAGTTGGCTTATTAGAGGAAAGAACTATAAAAGATTAACACTGCTAAACAGTGCCACATGTTCCTATCTCTCATAAAAAAATGAAAGGTGTCACCTTATTGTACTTGTATTACTGAAAAGAATCCATAAATGGTACAATAGTTAAAAGAAGTTGCTAATCTCAAATCCAGATCCAAATGTTCAGGGCCCTTACTGGAGACAACAGACACATATACTGTATATAATACGTATCATCATTCAACTTTATTTTCCACCATGTCCATTCATAATAACAGGTTTCAGTTGATGAGGGTGCTCTCCGCACACCTTACAGCAATCCCGGCCAGTAAGAATGATGGTGCTTGTAGTGACTACAACGGATGGCACCGTGCAAAGTACAAAATGAAAAAGCAGGTCACCAGCACTCAAATTATTTAAATAGATATGTCCTTTTTAAGCGGCCCCGAAACATCGGCTTTTGTTGATTGTCGTGACATAATTGTCCATTAAAAAGGACAGATCTATTTAAATAATTTGAGTGCTGGTGACCTGCTTTTTCATTCATAATAACAGACATTAACTAGCTAGAGGAGCTATTTTCACTAAATACAGGAGACTTGACTCAGTTGCTCCTAATCAGAGGATTCCTTGAATCCTACAGGATATGTGGCTTTCAATGAACACAGGCATTGAAGTAAGCTTCGAATGTCAGCCAAGAAGGTATGGCTGGCTGTCTTCTACAAAAAACTGATCAACTTCTGCATTTCACATTTTTTTTGGTGAGCTCTGGCTCTTGCAGTCCTGCTTTTACTCTTGTCTTTATTAATAGTTGTTTAGCTTTTAGTAGTCTCTAAGGCAAGCTCAGCCATATAAATATGGAATTCAGCAGACCATCAGTCTAAAGGTCCCCACACACCTTATGATAATCGTACGATAATTGCGGGAAATCCCGCGATCGTACGATTATCGTAAGGTGTGTGGAAGCCATGCGACCTCTACTACTGTAAGGTCGCACGACTTTTAACTTACGGACATGTACGACATGTTTTAACTTTAACTTACGGACATGTACGATGTTCGGCGGGTTTGTGGCATGTCCGTACGATTAAAGCCGTACGGGCCGGTGTGCGCAAGCGCACACTGCCCGTTCGGCATTGCGGTCATCGGAAGCCCGACCCTCAGGGGGCGTGGCTTGCGATCATCGCAAGTACGATCTGCCTATGCAAGATAGGCAGATCGTACGTTTTTTTAAGTACCTTACAACCATCGCAAGACAAAAGTCTTGCGATGGTTGTAAGGTGTGTGCCCAGCCTAGTCCAAAGTCAGACACAAGTTGTGCAGACACAATCTGACTGCTGAAAGATTATTTTTACAAATAGTGAATCATCAGTTGGGGAAAGGAGGGGGTGCTTGGCACTAATAGACATATTATTTGTTGTCTGATCTGCTTGAAATCATCAGAATCAAATGAAAGTTATTTTGTGTTTATGGGTGCCATTAAGCGTTAGCAGCCATAGATAATGTTTTTGTACTTGACAGTAACAGAAGTGGTTAAAAAAGTTTGGTGTGTCTTTGTATTTCTTAAGATGATACCATCACTTTTTTTTAACATTGCCTGTTTTAAAACACCTTTATTATTTTCATTAATTATTAAAATAATTAATTTTGTCTTGATATCTATATGTACTTTTCTGCTTAATTTATATAAATAGGCAGTGATGTCACACAGTCTAGAAGCAAAATGTAGTTAATTTCTGTTATCAACTAGCTACATAATAACACATTAGCAACTGTGGGGCAGATCTAGTAAAGTAGGGTATACACTGTTAGAACTTCATATGAAGGAGATTGATTTTGGAATGTTCTTTCAACTTTCTAATAGCTGGTGGGGTCAAATCAATAATTTATTTTGACTGCAGTAATTAAAAAATTAGAAGGAGCATAGCGGAAATTTTTTCTTTATCGAAGGAAATTCTAACAGTGAATGTGGTATTGGTTTGGGAGACTCCCATTCTTTCCAAAATCAAATGTTAAATGGAAACGAAAATCAAACAAGTCTTCGAACGACAATCTCCAAGTCTCTGATGGTATTATCGAATGTTCCAACAAAATCTTTTTTTACAAACGGTCTACCCATGTATATCCTACGTAAAGGAGACATTTCACACTTGCCTGTCATTACCTAATCAGACCCACAACAATTAATAAAAAACAACAAATACCTCTGATGTTAATTGGGTTAATATCCTTCACATTTGCCTACTGATTGTTGACAAGTTAGAATTTACATTTGATCTAATTCAGCACTTTTTAAAATTTTATGTTTTCAGTTATAAATGTCAATCCTAGACTTTGACATAGACCTCAAATTCAGCATAGTGTAGGAAAGCTCAGATTTAGCACACAACGCTTTTTCTAACTTGACCTAACTGACATCCTATCAACACAAAGTATAACCAACAGAAACCAATCAGAAAATGATTTGATTTTTTCTGGGTTGGTGAAATGGCAGCAGCAATTTGACTGACTGCTGAAGTTTTCAGAGGTGCCTTCATGTACTGTACTAGACTTCTTTTGTTACTAAATAATTTGTGACAAGTTCACCACATTAAAACAAATTTAACTCGACATATAACTTTTCCTTTACCAAATTGCCATTTACATTGGGGTCATTCCTTTAAGTGCAATAATTGAAAGCTAAACAGAAAATAAAATGACTTAATCAAAGATACCCTTATTAAGAGAAACACAGGCCCACATAACAGGAGAGCAGTTAGTGGTTTGTATTTTCCAAGACAAATAAAGTAGAAAAAAAATTGAAATGCTAGTGACATAGGAATAATTCCTAATTTGATTGCAATATAAGTTGCCAATTCATCTGTGCCGAGTTGCTCTTGAGGCAGATGAAAAGAAATCAAAATATGGGACAGATGTTGAAGAAACCACACTGCAAGCCTGTCACATACTGGCATTTTCTAATGATTTTGGCTCATCCATTAAATAAGGCACATTTTGCCTGATTTTGAAAGAGGAAACATCAGGGAATATTTAAAGGCCAATTGCCGCCAATTAACTTTGATCAGGAGAAGATGTATTCAAACCTTTCAGATTCCTTCTCCTGTCTGAAATAACATACATTTCCAAAATCCAGCAAAACAGCAAGCCGATGATTAATGCCTGTTGGCAGCCCTGCCACAAGCTTGCTTAACGACGGGGTTTTAAATAAACAGCTGTCTATACCCCAGCGAAACTGAATGTGGCTTGTTTCTTGTATTACTGTAACAGTACAGGAAAAAGTGTCTTTCATAATGAAATTAGTTTGTTAGGGTAATATGCCCATCATTCTGTGGCTATGGAGGGAGGGGGAGAAACATTAACTTACATATTAATCAGTATATAATAGACTACATACAACCAGTAATTTATTTTCAAGCACTAAATGGGAAAAAAGCAAAAAGCCCCCATGCCAATATTGTGTCTGTAACTGTTATAACTCTACTCTTCCTTCAGACCATAATAAAGGTGCCACATTCTCTTGCAGCTGTACACCCTAATCATTGGTTCATTCCACCTTATGGACAACAGTTAATACTGGTGGGGATTTCTCACCATTGGAGCCTACAATATGCCTTCAGCTATAAAGGTACATTCCAAAGCTTCTTGGATACCTTAGATACTTTATATTTGTGGGGCCTGGCCCCCTCTAAAACTGACTGAGCCTGAAGAAGCTTTGGAATGTACCTTTATTGCTGAAGGCTGGAATAGAGTTAATAGAAAATCTGGCCTCTTTTGAAACCTCTCTCACTTTGTAGTTTCCTGCTTTGACTTGGGGGTTGTCTTGCTCTCTGCCCCATTTCTATTGATCCCTCCCCGTCCGCGCCCATGATTGAGTGTTGGTCAGTGGTGAATCCAGCCATCTTTACAGACTATTGTAAGTTTATTGAATTAAACAAACTGTACTAAATATTCAAATGCATTTGCATAGGAAAACTATGAACTCTTTGTAAATAAAAAATATGATTTTCTTGTAGAAAGACAGTAGCCTTTTTCCTGAAGAAGCGGATCTCTGTGAAACGCGTTGAAATCTGTTTTCCTCCCACGGGACTACAAATTAAATTAAGAAGCTGATATCCAGCAAATTGCAACAAGTATTATAAAATAGATAAAAATGTGGGAGGATGCGGCTACATCCTATGGTCTTTTTTAGGCAATTCTGTTTGTCTTTCTTTTTTTTTTAAACATGCGTTTTAAATATATTTATAAATACAAATTGTTATACTTTATATAAAAACTAAATATGTTTTGTGTGATCCTTGAAGTACCTTAAAAGTCCAAACTCCTTTTTTTTCCTATTCTACATAAGTACTAAACACATCAAACAAACCAAAAGAAACTGTACTCACTTCCAAATCATTGAAAAATAAGTGTGTATCGGCCAAGTTGAAAATCATTTCTTCCATTCGAAGTCCAAGTGATACTGAGGTTGGTGGATCCTTTATAGAGACAAGAAGTAAAAAAATGATTAAACTCAAATTCAACAACCAAATAAATAAATGATCAAATTTGTATGTTATTATATGTGATTCTGAGGTGCAATTAGAACGGATGATTTTACCACTATTCAGAACAGGTTTGTCAAGCTCAAATGAAAGAGAGAGCCAAACTGAATAGTACATTTCTGCAGCAGGGGGGGCCTATGGTTGTCAGTCACACCTGTGTTTTAGCATGCCTTAATGCATGTGCAGAAGTTTGCCATTGTTTTTAATAGGTGTGTAAAAAATTATGAGCTCACTGTTGGCAGCAATATCAAGTAGCTGACATGGAAGGTGCAAAGCTGCACCACACAGCAACGACCAAGAAGGCAGTGAAAGTTTTGTCATGTCATTAAAACATGATGAAATGTGGTCTCTTGTTGGCCAGCCAGGTATAACTCTTACCAAAGCTGCATGCTTCAGTTTTGTAGAAAAGCAGTAATAGGAGTAGATCACGAACACAGAAGGGTTGTGACATCTAAAAGCAGTCTTATTGGGGTCTAAGAGACCTAATGCCTGAAGCTGGCATCAGATATCAGATCAGGTCAGAACATCCGTTTGGTAAACTTTAGAGAACAGAAGACCAGGTGGTAGCCTTGTAAATTTGAGAAACAGTGTGCTTTGAGGGAAATGGTGGAATCTTATGCTTATGACCATAAGCACGCATGATGATTTGTCTAACCCATAAATTGTGGAGTTAGCAACTGGTTCCTCTTTAGAGGGACCATAAGGAATGACAAAAAAGTAGTTGGTCTTCCGAAACTAGGAAGAAGAAAACTTGCACGGCCCGAACTACATGTAGACATCAAAGAGAAATATCCTTATGGTGTATAGGAGCTATATAGAGACACAGAAGAACAATGATCTGGCTGAGGTGAAATACCAAAACTACTTTAGGAAGGAAATACACTGCATTCAGTTTCTCAGCAGACCTCTGATTTTCACAATAAACTTAAAACTGCAGTGTTTTATAACATACACACACACACACACACACACACACACACACACATATAATTTGATTTTCAGCCACAAATAGGCAAATCGTGTTGTCAACTGTTGCTAGGTCACAGCACTAACCACATGGTCATCAGAGTTTTCTGGAACCGGCCCTGCTGCTTTCTGCACAGGGAGGGTTATTCAATAGCCAAGACGCAGTGACACTCACCAATGGGAAGGGGGTGGGTGAGCCTGGAGATAATTAAGTCACTACTCCCTCCAGTCTGTCTTCTCCTACACTGTAGCAATGGAATGTCCCTCCATGTCCTCACGTTCTATACACTATAGGAATGTGCAATGTGATGATGTATGGGACCTTAGACCACTGCAGCAGAGGGGGAGAGAGGCTCCAGGGACAGATCTAAAAGCAAGTTGGCTCATAAGATCAGAAGAGTATAACTTTTTTATATTCCTCCCTAGACACAAACGAGCACTTAATCCTTACAGTGCAGGGGCTGCCCCACTCCAAGGATTAATAATAACTATCCCTGGAGTTCTTCTTTAATACATGGGTGAGTATGAACCCCCCTGCTTTCCCCATAAGCAATTTATTTGATATGTTTGATAAGTACATAAAGTAGGGTAAAAAGTAGGGTAAACAGGTATTCCTTTATATAGTAAAACAAACCCAGTCGTTATTAAATACCACCAAAGTAAAGCTCTGTTTGTCTCAAAAAATTTAATGAAAATCATTTGAACATACTATTGTATGACTGAGTGTCAGTTAAACTGGCACAGCACTCAAAGCTAAAAAATGCCCTGGTAATAAAGGGGTATATATAAGCCAGCACTACTCACGTGGTTGAGCAGTAGTGGCATATTCTTCATGAACTTAGATAAGAAGTGTTGTCATAATATAAATCTTGATAATCTGAGGAATGAATGCAGTCATACTGACACTGTGGTAATTAAATTTACGTGGCAGGTTAGCGATATTCCCAGTTAATCAAAGATATCTGTAGAGAATCACCAGGGTTGTGTGACGCAGGCCACCCACATAGACTTAAGGTCTTTTGTTTGCGATTAACGTATAACACACTTTATGTTCTCTGCAGAAATTGCCGTATCAGCTGGCTCCTTACTGAGCTAATAAAATAAAAAACAGTGTCCAAAGCCGTGGTTTCTAAATACAATGCAGATGTCTGGCTTGTTTTCATTTGTATAACATTTTCATGATTTTTATACATAGAACACATGCACTGATCGCTACATATATTTGTTGGATTATGTATTTGGCAGTTGTTGAGAAAGAAAGCAAGAGTCTACAAATTTGTTTAGAATACCTCAAGTTTTTGTACATGGGAAACATGTCTTAGGGCATATGAATTCACAGCAATTTTTGGTTTGATTTAAATGCCTCCTGCTCTTAAGAAACAAAAACCCCTCAAAGCTTAAAGTTCCTACAATAACAGGAATTACAAAGTTTGTCAAACACTTGAGGTAATTAATACTAATGAGGGGATCTATCTCTAATTAACACACCTTCAACTGATATCTAACATTGGTCATTCAAAGTAATTTCAATCAATCAATCAATCAATCAATCAATCATTATGATACCTGCAGTTATACCTAAAGCACAGAGAAGTGGAAACTGCAAATAATTACCATGAAATAGGCTAAACAACTATGTTCTAAATGTAGGCAAAAGCATTCCCTGAACCATTTCTAAAAAAAACTCTGCCGCCAATAAAACACCAAATGCTGCAGTTTTGTATTTATTAAAAACAGACAAAAATATACATTTAAAATGCAACTAGTTTAAGTGGCTTAATGTTCTGGGTAAATGCAACACATACGGTTTTTTTCACAAAAGGGTGAAGAGTTTGGAGAAGGCTGGAAAAGTGAATATTCTAGGACAACATAGCTGAACTGGAAAGTGAATTGGAGAATTTTTCCAAATCAGTTATTTTGGCCTAGATTGTTCACTTCTCCTGCCTTCTCCAAACTCTTCATGCTTTAGTGAATAACCCTGATAGGCTAGGATAGAGAGACACTACAAGCCAATCAGGCTATAATGCAGTGCACAGTGGTATTAATCTACTGTATAGACAGCCTTATTGGGGAGGAGTGCAAATAGATGACCTACATCAGGGTTGTGCTGCTCCATCATAATCCAATCAGTAGGTAGACCAGGATTTGTAGATACAAAAACTGGCTATGCTTTCTGGAAGGGCACCTGGACCACAGTCTGGCTGAACTGAATTATACATCCGACAGGTGAGGCAGTTTACATATAAGCATTAAAACTCTGCATAAATGTGTTCTCCTTAAGTTCAGCTGTGATCTATTTCCAAGGTTTTGGTCAGGTATGTGACCACCATTGACAATTTGAAATTGTCATGAACTCACTGATGAAGTCATGGGAGACCATGATATACAGTACCCAATATTGGCTCTGTCAACAAATGAAATGTTCATAGCCTACTTATTTATTTACATCATTATTAGTATATTTATTAGTATACTAGATATTCCCATATAAATGCAACAAATTAGCAAATCATCTCCCCTGGTTTGCTGAACTCCAAACTACACACTGCAACCTCATTTTCTTTGGATCATATTTATGCAGCTAATTTTAGCTAACAGACGTCTGATCCTCGTATGATTCTTAGGCTACTGCCCAAATTGCCCCTATTTTAGTGCACCACTTGTGCCCAATTTGACCCTATAGTCCTATAGCTCTGATTGTTCCATTTTGCAAATCTTCGCTAATCCAGGTCAAGCAATTGGTTTAAGAAGCATAGCTAGCTGTAGACAAAGCAAAGTTGAGCCTGGATGTAATTTGTATAAAAGTATAGAATGTCCATGTTTAGTTTTAGCAATCACTGATTCCTTTTTAAATGCAGTTGCCAAGAATATATTTAACAAAACTAAGCTAATTGACACACAATGATTAGCAAAAATCCATCACTTCATTATTACAGTTTTGGCAAACCCCATCCTCAGCTTTAGGGATTTCACCATGTCACTGTAAAGCTGAACTCCAGGCACAAATATATATATATATA